GCTGCTCAGGGCAGCACGAAAACCCGTGGGATCCCCCGGCACCACAGGGGTGTCCCTGAGAACTGCCCTTCCCCAGCCTGGGGACACAGGTCCCCCCAGCAGCCCAGAGCTGGGATCGGTGGTAGAGCCCCCGGTTTGCTGACTCCTGGGGGGCAACACCCCCAGTTGAGTCCCCCTGGGGAAACAGGGAAAAAGAAGCAAACCCAGGGGAGAGGAAAGAGAGGTTTGTGGGGAGACCGGCCCAGCATCACCTGGGACTCCCCCCACTGCAGACTCGCAGCAGAGTGGAGTGAAGGGGAGAGACTTTAATCCATCTCGTCAGAAAAGCCTAGTGAAGTTAATTGGAATTTGCAGAAAACAAGCCAGCCTGGGCGTGTGACACCACAGCAGAGGTGACGTCCCTGGCACCCTGCTCCTGGGGTAAGACCTGCCCCGAGCAGGGATTTGGGGTCCCTGCCTGGTCTGTACCTTCAGGCTCTGTCCCCATGGTGACCCCCAGCAGGCTGCATAGGATGCCACGGTGCCAGGGGCTCACTAGTGGGCATGGTCTGGGCACCCCAACCCCTCGATCCCCTCTCACAGGGCACAAACATGGCTATTTTTTGGAAGCAGGAAGAGCTGCGTCACTCCTGACCCATGTGGAAGCTGCTGGGGCTCGCAAGTTTGAGGGTGTTTCATTTATTGCTCCTCTTGGCCGTGGAAAAAGCCAGCAGCAGGAGAGGGACAAATCAAATTACAAGCCAGCTAATGAAAATAATGGGGAATAAAGTACTTTTGGAGGCTGCTTGGTTGGATTCCTATTTCCGTGTGTCACTGGATTTAAATCGGTGATGTTTATAGCCCTCGAGAAGCAGCCATTTAATTGCCCTTTGTCATTAGCTGCAGCTCAATTGACCGTGAATTTCTTGCTCTTGCAGACCTGAGCGTTTGGCTGAGGAGAGACAGCTCCAAGCCGGGCTCCTGCCCCCCCAGGCTGCTCCCACCCCAAATGCTCCAGCACCCAAAGCAAATCAGGGGTCTGGCCCTCCCTGGGCAGCACCTTCCAGCTCATCCCAGGGTAAAACGGGTGGCTCGTCCCACAGAGCAAACCTGAGATGGGGGGGTCGGTCTCTTTTCTCAAGTCACAGGCGACAGGACGAGAGGAAATGGCCTCAAGTTGCGCCAGGGGAGGTTCAGGCTGGATATTAGGAAAAAATTTTTCACTGAAAAGGTTCTCAGCCATTGGAATGGGCTGCCCAGGGAGGTGGTTGAGGCCCCATCCCTGGAGGTGTTCAAAAGCCGGGTTGATGTAGTGCTGGGAGGTATGGTTTAGTGAGGGGGATGCTCCTTGTTTGTTGTGCGGGTGTCTATTTTTGTCAGTGAGGTTGACGGTTGGACAAGATGATCTTTAAGGTCCCTTCCAACCTAGAAGATTCTGGGATTCTGTGATTTATACAGTTGGGAGGGGTTTGTCCTGTTTCCATGCAATGGTCCAGCTGCTCCGACAGCGAGCGACTGCCAGCGCCTGCCTGGGCTAACAGCCCCCGCCTGCAACTATTGACTCCGAGTAAATAATCTCCAGATATATCTTTCTCCCGATAAAAGCTGATTTTTTTTTTTTCTATTATTGTCAGGGGTGTTTATTAGAGCAGAAAAATAATAGTGCTGTGCTTGCAGCCTGATTGCCGGGAAGTGTCGGGAGTCGGCCGTGCAGCCCTGGCAGCTGGGATCAAACGTGCTGCCTGGCACTGCGGGCTTGGGGGGGCCAAGAAGATCCCCCTGCCCGGCTGGTCTGTGAGGGGTGGCATCGAAGGGAAATTCCCTTTCAGCAAAGGCAGAGGGAGAAGATGCTCCACGAGCTTGAGCTCTGGAGTTTCTTGGCTTTTGGAATTTCTAGGAGGCTCAGGGCTGGCTTGGGGCTCAGCCCTGGGACACAGGGAGGTCCCTCTGCTGCAGACACCTGGGAACTGAGCCAGGAATTTAGGGACATGTAGGTTTTATGTGGTCCAATAGGAGATCTCGCCCTTCCACCTGAAGGACCATTCTCCTGTGCTGGAGCTGCAGCCCTTTGGCATCCTTTTGGCGTCTTGCAGATTAGAGATGAGTGATGGCAGGCAGCCCCTCTCGCCCTGTCCTCCCCCTCTCTGTGCCCGCCAGGGACTCCCCACATCCCTGACACACAGAAAATTAATCCTCCTGCCTCATTAATTACGGTAATGTGCCAGGAGCCTTGTTCAAGGTCAGCCTCTCAGACCCCTGTAATCAATTCTCTCCAATTTGCAGCCGCTGATGGGGAGGAGCTGGGAGGCAGCGATGGCACACAGCAGGGACCAGCACTGGGTGACTGGAGCCTGTGGACAGAGGAGGGTCCCCGCCAGGCTCCCCTCCCTGGCACGGCTCCCTCCTGGCAGCCTGGACTCCCCATGTCCCCTTGTGTCCCCCCGTGTCCCCCCGTGTTGCCATCCCAAGCCAAGGGTCTCCTCCCTCCCACCCCTGCCCACCTGCAGCACGGCTGGGCCAGGAGCCCTCTGCTCCCTCCCAACTGCCAAGGGCTGACCAGGGGGGGGTTTGTTTGAACTGATCGTGTTGGGCAGCAATTAAACAGCTCTCCTCAGCCGTGAGAGACTCCAGCAGGTTTTGGGCTTAGATCTTGCATCTTACGTGACTGACAATACTTTATTTTTTTTTTTTTTAGGGAATGAAAAGAAGAAAAGGCAAATCTCTTTAGGGAGGCCGGTTCTTGCTGACAGCTGAGCTGATACAAGCCGGTAACGTACTTTATTCTGCTTAATGGCAATGATCTGCCCAGCGGGGATTAATGAGAGGTGCTGATAACACGTCTGAGGAATGGAGGCAGCTGAAGCCCCCCAGCACTGCCCGCTGCTGGTTGGGGGGCTCCCCCAACCCTGGTTCCCCGGGATGCCGTGGCAGCAGCAGGGTGCAGGGGGGTCCTGCTGCACCCCAACCCCACATCAGTGCCACCAGTCCCCGTCCCACCCACGGCAAACTGGGAAAAGCCCCGTGGCCACTTCCCCTTTCCACCTTCCCGCTCGCCGGGTGGCCCCGGGCTGGGGTGGCTCTTGCACCACGGGCTGGGAGCTCACTGCCCCATCCCTCACCCCAAAATGTGCCTCGTCTGGGCCGTGAGCACCCACCCTCCCTCCCTCCAAACTGCTCCCCAGTCTGTCCCACACCATCACCCCCTGTCACCACCTCCCCCTGCACTGCCCCAGCCTCATCCCGCGGGACCATCCCTCACCCAGCCAGCTCCCTCCTGCCCCAACAGCCTCTGCCCCACGCATCCTCCTATCCCAGCCCCTCTGAGGGTTGTGGGACCTGGGGCTCTGGCTGCAGGTGCCCTGCAGGGATGGCACCCTGCCTCTGGTGTCCCTGTCCCATCCCAGGAACGGGATCTCTGGGCTTGTGAGAGTGACTCAGAGCCGAAGGGGAACCGAGAGCTCTGTCACGGAGGCTTGTCTGCTCCATCCCTGGTCTCGGGGGAGACTCGGAGCCTCTTTGGGGACAAACCCTTTCCCTGTGGAGCTTGGGTGAGGGCACAGTCCCTCCCCACACCGGGACGCAGGGTCCCACCATATCAGGGTGGCAGTGGTTGGGGGGTGTGGGGAGGGCACTGCTTGTTTGTGTCCAGCTGGGTGTTTGCAGCTCTGCCTGCCCTCCGGTTCCCACGGAGATGCCCACGTCGCCATGGCTACCCACGGATATTCCTGCTCCGGCTGGTAAACAGCCTGCAAGCCGCGTGTTTCCGTCCCAAAATACTGGGGGTTGCTACACCCCAGGGAAATGGTGCAAGGGCAGCTCCCCCACCCCAGCCCAGCGGCTGTGGGAACCTGCCCCGTGCCCCAACCCGAGGAGCTGTGCCCCACACTGCCCCATGGGCAGCACAGCCCACTCCAGGCCCTGGGCAGGGAAGATATGGAGGAAAAACCCTTTGCTTGGGCTGCTGGGGCCGTAAGGTGGCTAGCAGGTGGCTAGCTGCACCCCTGGGCCACCTCCCTCTGGCCAGCAGCCCTGCTCCATGGAAAGCAACGCTGGGAGCGTGTGTCCCCTGGGATGCTCCCCATGGTCCCGGGTCACCCTGTCTCCCAGGGGACATCGGGGTGGGGGGGCTCTGCTGGCCCCGTGGTTGTTTGCAGCGTTGGGTTGTGTGAGCACTGATTAAGGCGCTGCTGGGGGTGGAACACGTGCTACAAATCCCGTAGTAAACAGCTGTTTGCACAACAGCCGCCTCCGTTGCGAAGGCTGTGAGTGTGTCGCCGGTTGGGCAATCCCCTGTTTACCCCCCTGCTCCAGCCCTGTCCCACGGGACACGGTTCTCCCCGGCCGGGGCGGTGATGCCAGCCTGGCACAGGTGGGCAGAGCTGCCCATGTCCCAACCCCGACCCCCCCTGGGCAAGGGGCTGCTGGAAAGACCCGAGTTAATGGTGGGCTTGGGGAGGTACCAGTGGGAAGGTTGAGCCTTGGGTTGCCCTTGGGACATCTCACAGGTCCCTTCACTCTGGCCAGGCTGGACTGCGTGGTGTCAACAGGGACAACTGGGATCAAACGGGGCTCCGTGGGGCTGGGCCATAGGAGACAGCCCAGCAAGGGGCAGCCATGCTGTCCCCAGGGAGTGGGGCTGTGGGGCTGGAGGCATGTTCCAGGAGAGGGCTGAAGGAGGGATGAGGATGCGGGGATGAGCCCAGTCCCCACCAGTGGGTACCCCGGGTGGGCTGGGGGATGCGAGCTGTGCCCAGCTGGCACCTCACTGCGCGGGCAGCCATGGCTGGGTCTGCCTCCTGCCCTCTGAGCCCCACATCCCCGAGCCATGTCCCCCTGCCTGCACAGCCCCGTGGTCCCAGGGGGGTCACAGTGAGGAGTTGGCCGTGCCGTGTCCCGGCGGGGGGAGCGGGCAGGGTGGGAGCCGGGTGCTGCTCCCGGCCGCTGGACGCGTGCGTGCCGCTGGGCTTTCCTTCCTGCGGCGAGCGAGGCGGTCGCAGCCTTCAGGGAAGTGTTTTGCAATCACCTTCTTCAGAGAGTCACAGCAATTAACGGCACTGGTTTTGAGGAACTAACGGTGAAAGCAGCATGTTAGCAAACGGGCTGAGCACGGCGAGCCGCCGGGAGCTGGAGGCTGGTGCTCGGAAGGGACGGTGAGCAGCGGCCGGACACACCGGGCACGGAGGAGAGGTAGAGATGGAGACGAGGTAGGGATGGTGGTGGGGCAGGATGGGTTGTGAGGGGCTTGTGTCCGGCTGAGCACCTCATCTGTGGCTGTGCCTTGTCCCCTGCCTGGGACACCCCCATGTGCCCCATGCTTGGGGGTGGCTGCTCCATTTCCCACACTCAAGTCCCTCGTCTGCTTCGGGACATTGGCTCAGGGGGGAGAGAAGCTGTGGGGACCCAGAGTGGGGCACAGTGTCGGCAGCCCCTCTGGGGGCCAGTGCCCGGCACTGCCAGGACTCGGCTGGGACCATCCCGGGGCAGAGGATGACCTGGTGGCCGTGCAGAGGCAGCCGCTGCTCTGGGGGCCATTCCCAGCTGTGGGGTGCAGGAGAGTGGGGTGCAGGTGGCACCCCACAGCTCTGGCCAGCCCCACTGCGCTGCCATCATTCATTCATTGCCCTCTTTCAGCTTATCAGCTCTGCCACCCCGAGCCTCAGCGTGAACCCTCCCTGAAACCGCAAATCTCTGCCTGGCACAGGCTGAAGGCACCTGAGATAAAATCAGCCCGTGCCTGCGGCCAGCTGTGGGGCGATGCACCCCAGGGTGAGGGTGCGTGGGGCTGAGAGCCGTTGGCAGGCGGTGCTGGGGGGTCCCTGCTGCAGCCCCTCGCCGCTGCGCTTTTCCAGGCCGGCGCCTGCGGCAGCGTGGGCTGCAGAGCCCGGGGGCGGAGGTGTCAGTGCCGCAGAAGGGCTGCGGGGGAGAGGCTGCCGCTGACGCCAGAAGGACATTTCGCTCCAGGAAGCGTCGGTGACGGTGGCAGCGGGGACTCTTGTCCCCAGCCCCTTCCCAACCCACCAGCACCAGCTGCTCTCTCCATTCCAGGTGATGCCAAAGCCACGGAGGAGACCATGGCCAGGCGCGGTGCCGGGACACCCTTCCTGCTGCGGCTCTCCCTGCTCCTGGTCCTCCGTCCGGGCGGTGAGTGGGGTCTGTCCTGTCCCACAGCCGTGTGTCCCCCGCACTGTCCCACTGTCCCCCAGCACCATGCACCGGCTGTGGCTGCAGAATGCAGGGGCTGCGTGGGCAGCAGGAGCAGCGGTGGCACAGCGGGTACTGGCAGGATGGGGCCTGGCATATGCCAGCGGCTTGCCCAACGCCCCGCTCTTCCTCTCCAGCAGCTGAGGGGCCCATCTAAGGGAAGAGGCACTCATCCCTCCGTCCTGCCCGGGCACCGAGATGACTTTGTCACAGCCGTGCCCTGGATGTGACACATTTTTTCCTGCCCGCAGGGACCCTGGGCTGTGCCACGGTGGCTGTGGGCTCACCCATTGTGCCCCTGGGCTCGCCCATCACAGCATCCTGCACCATCCGGAGTGAGCTCTGCCGTGGCTTGGAGCACGGGAAGGTCCAGATCACCTGGATGGTGGACAACGAGCCCATGGCTGGGAGCCAGCAGCGGGGCCCGGGTGGCACGGAGGTGTCCAACCTCACCCTGCCCCAGTTCAACCGCACGCAGGCCAAGCTGTGGTGCTGGCTGGAGTGGAACGGGACCAAGCAGCGCGTTGGCATGGCCGAGATCAGGGCAGGCTGTAAGTCTGCTGCTGCCACGGGCCACCCCTGTGTGTGCACATCACCAAGGTGCAGCCTGACACTGGGGTTTGCACCTCTCCTCCCTGAGACACGTGTCTGCCCCGGGCAAGATGGGCAGAGCTGCTGGGGCAGAAGCTGGGGCTGATGGTGGCTGTTTTGGGGCTGTGCCCAGCCACATCCCCGCACACCAGTGCCCGGAGGGCAGGCTGTGGGGCAGAGCAGATCTGGGGAGCAGTGGGGTGGGAGCGGGGCTCCCCACAGCCGGGCTGGGTGCTCTGCTCAGGCTCTATCTCCCCTGCTCTCTCCCAGACCCACCTGCAAAGCCCTTTAACCTCAGCTGCGTCCTGAACCTCAGCGACTACGGGCTGACGTGCCAGTGGGAGCGGGGACCCGACAGCCACCTCCCCACCAGCATCGCGCTCAAGTGTGGGGGGTAAGCCTCACCGGGTGATACAGTCCCCAGTGCCTGGCCCCCAGGCCACCTCTCCTGCTCCTGACCCCCCGCCAAACTACCTGGTTGCCTTGTCCTCTGCCGGAGGGACCCCTGAGCCCACCCCTCTTGCTGCCACAGGAGCAGAGCCCCGGCGGTGACAGGCTGCACCCCGCAAGGTGACCGCAGCTCCTGCATGGTGCCGCGGCGGCTGCTCCAGCTCTACCGGCAGATGGAGATCTGGGTGTCTGCCACCAACGCGCTGGGCACGGCCGAGTCGGAGCATCTCTACATCGACCCCATGGACGTCGGTGAGTGACGGCCGGAGCCACCTGCCCTGTGCAGAGGTCAGGGGCCGGGGAAGCTCATCAGCAGCGAGAGAGGGGTATTACAGCACCATTAGAGCACATCGGGCTTTCAGGTCATATTTTACGGGCAGGTTCCCGTGATAAATGGCTCGCCGGGATGAATAGGTGCCAAAGCTGCATTACAGACCGAGCAGCGTGTGCCGGCAGGTTATGAGCCGTCAGTTGACCCGCTGCACTCTACAACTCTCTCCAGCAATTGATTACCCATTTATTCAGGAGGTCTATTAATAATATATCCGGCTCCTATAAACTATTTATAAAAGGAACCTTCCCAGACAGCGCGACTCATCCTCCCTGCTCTCGACCCAGGGGAGGGCTGCCCGTGAGCAGCCGAGCCCCCCCATGGCCCTGCAGGGCTCTTGCCCCCCGGGCAGACCCAGATGTGCAGTTCTCCTGGCCGTGTACCAGACCCCAGCTCTGCATCCCATGGGATCTGTTTTTCCTGCGTGGGCATTAGCCCTGTCTGGAGCCCAGGCTGCAGAGCAGTGCCAGTGCTGTGCCCCCAGCATCACCCTGTGTCCCACATGAGCTCCCATCCCCTGCCATGAGCACCCAAGTCTCCTAAATGTTTCAGGGGGGTTTCTCCCCATCCCTCACCTCGAGCAGCCAAGCTCGAGGGCAGCTGCAGCTCATGGCATTACCAACAGCTGCATGTGAGGCTGTGCCCCAGCACAGCACCCACCATGGCACCTCTCCTGCTCTCTCCCCTGCTCTTCCTCCAGCCAAGCTGGACCCCCCGGCCCTGAAGAGCATCCAGTCCATCCCATTCCAGACCGACTGCATTGCCCTGGCCTGGGAGGTGGCACGGAGCAATGCCCACATGGAGCTGCAGTGCGAGCTGCGCTACCAGGCAGCCGAGGACCCTGCCTGGGCTCTGGTGAGTGCTGCTGGGGCAGCGGGACCGGGGAGGGCGAGTGAGCAGGAGCTGGGACCCTCCCCTGGTTGTGAGCTCTGCCAAGTTTCTTGCCCACCTTCTGCACACCGGGCACCTCCAGGTACAGGTCAGAGCCCCCAGCTCCTCTCAGGCACCAGGGGAGGGATGCAGCACCAGCATCTTTCCCACCCTGCCATGGCAGCAGCCTCTTGCCTGCAAACAGCCCATCCCGCTCGGGCTGTGTGCTGAGGCCACCACATCTCATCACAGTTGTGGTGACCCCCTTGCCCAGAGCTGCCCTGTGCAGGGAGGAGTAGCTCGCCCCAGTCCTTGCTGCTCCGCTCATACTGGTCCCAGTCCCGTGCCAAGGTGGGACAGGGCTGTCCTCATCCAGGGCTGGGCTGCGGGGCCAGACCCTGTAACGTGTCCTGACCCATCCGGAGCAGGACCCACTGTGTCCCTCCTCGGAGGGCAATGGGAATGGTGGGGTGCCTGAGAGGGATGGGGGGCAGCAAAGTGCCCCCTCGCACGCCCTGTGCAGCACCCACACGGGGGCCAGCCCCTGCTGGAGGCAGGAGCCAGCACAGACCCCCCTCCGGCTGCCACCAGGTCACCGGCATCGACGGCCAGGCTGGCACCGCGCAGCACTGCGGCTTCCTCTTCGGCACGCGGTACCACTTCCAGATGCGGTGCCGGCGGAGCTCGGCACGGGGCTACTGGAGCGAGTGGAGCCCGGGCAGGAACTACACCACCCACGAGAAAGGTGGGTGCGGAGGCCCCTGGGGTGCCCAGCCGGGGTGGCACCGTGGCGGTGCCGTGGCCACGCTCAATTTTCTCCTGTTGCAGCCCCCTCGGGGAAGCTGGACGCGTGGTGGAACGCTTGGCCGGCTGGCACGGGCGGGCGGCTGGAGGTGCAGCTGTGCTGGAAGGTGAGCACGGGTGGGCAGTGGGGGTTTGGGGGTGGCAGGGCATCCCCCCAGGGACCAAGCATCCCCCCGTGGTCTGAGCATCCCCCCAGGGACTGAGCATCCCCTGTGCCCAGGCCCCACAGCGGCAGGAAGCGAATGGGAAAGTGCTGGGGTACCGTGTCACCCTGAGCCCCAGGAAGAGGGGCAGGGACCCCCCCACGGTCTGCAACACCACCCACACCCAGTGCAACTTCTCGGCGCCGGCGGGGACCAGGAGGGTCTATCTCTCAGCCTACAACGCCGCCGGCGAGTCGGCAGCGACCGAGGTGGTCCTCCTGGAGAGGAAAGGTGAGGGCAGTGCAAATATCCCGCACCCCAAAACCCCTGCACACCCCCGTGTGGCTCTGCCACCCCCCCAGCAGCTCCAGGAGCTCTCAAACTGGGTGCTGCTCACCCCACCACGGGGGAGGCACCTCCCTGGGTGTGTGGCCAGGGGGTTCCTGAGCTGGTGGCCCGTGGGGCACAGAGCCAGGGCGAGCAGCAGGGCAGGCTCCGGGCAGGGGCTGGGGCTCCGGTGATGCAGCAGGGATGCTCCCTTCTCCCCTCATCCCGGCTGGTTGTCCCCATGCAGGTCACCCCCTGGCCAGGCTCTGGGCTGTGCCCGGGGGCGAGCGCAGCCTCTGGGTGCACTGGGAGCCCCCCCCAGCCCCGGTGGTCGCCTACGTCCTGGAGTGGCAGCGGGTGTCCTCAGAGCCCAGGCACTGCAGTGCCTGCTGGCAGATGGAGCGTGACGGGGCCACCACCGCAGCCCTCATCCGGGGTAAGCCAGGGGCTGCCGGGGGTCCCTGCCCTCCTGGTTGGTTGTGGGGTGGGTGTACCAGGGTACGAGCACCCCTCCTGTGCCCACATCCAGGGCTCACAGCCTGGCTCCCTCCGGGACTGAGCCATGCCCTGAGCCCACTCCACAGCCTCCCTGCTCGCTGTGGGTATGGCTCGGGGCAGGGGGGCTGGTGCTGTGGGGCAGGTGCAGGGCAGCCGGGGGCTCTGGGCAGCCAGAGCCCGAACCCCTGGCCCCCCCTCTGCTCTCTGTTGCAGATGGCATCGAGCCTTTCCAGCGGTACAACATCTCCGTGTACCCCCTCTACAAGGATGCCATAGGGGAGCCCGTCCACACCGCAGCCTATTCCAAGCAGAAGGGTAGGTGTGTGCCCAGGAGCAGCCCTCGGGGTCCTGGGGTGCTCACCCCACACCACCAACCCTTTGCCTTTCACAAAGGAGAGCCAGCCAGCCTTCCTGCCACGAACCCCTCCTTCAGGGGCTGTGCAGAGGAGCTCAGCCCACTGGCCTCGATTGTGGCTGGTCTCCAGCTGGTCTCAGCTGGACCAAGCCCCATGGGGGGCACAGTGTGGGGCAGGACCTCACTCTCCACTCAGTGCATCCCCCCTGCCGGTCCCCCACCCCAAGGCAGCAGCTCTGCACAGCACCCAGTCCCTTGTCCTGCTCTGTTTCAGCACCATCCTACGCCCCAAAGCTCCACCTGAAGAGCATCAGCAAGTCCGACGCTGAGCTGTGCTGGGACCCGGTGCCAGTTGAGATGCAGAACGGCTTCATCACCAGCTACACCATCTTCTGGGCCAACAGCACCGCAGAAGTGTCCAGTGAGTCCTGCCTGGGTCACCGAGGGCCCTGCCCTCCATCCCACCACCGCACGTTGGGTGGGAACGACAGCAGACGCCCTGCCTTCCTCAGAGAGGGTCTGGGAGTGTGTGTGAGTCCCACACGGGGGACTGCAGAGACCCACGGGGCTGTACAGGTGAGGGGCACCCACAGAGCAGCCCCCACCGTGCCAACAGCCCCCCGTGTTTTCCAGGCGCCACCGTGAATCCCTCCCTCAGCTCCTTTGTCATCCAGGAGCTGAAGCCATCGACCCTGTACAAAGTGCACATCATGGCATCCACGGCTGCCGGCGGCACCAATGGCACCAGCCTGACCCTGGTGACCATGGTGCTAGGTGAGGGGGTAGGGACAGGAGGGGACCTGCCAGACCCTGGGTCTTGTGGCAAAGTGCCACTGGAGGTGCCCCACCATGGTTCCCCCGTGACCCTCTCCCCTGCTCCCCTTCCAGATGACATTGAAATCCAGTTCCTCTTCTTGACCCTGGGGCTGATCTTTGTCCTGCTCATACTTTTGCTCATCTGCTTCCAGAAGAACGGGCGGTGAGTACCTAGAGCCACCACAGGCTGGGCTCCTGGGCACCACAGGCCCCAGGAGTCCCTGTCCCCAGTGGCTGTGGTGGCCCTGGCCACCATCCGGGAGGGCTGGGGTGGCTGTGGGGAATGGCAGCATCCCGCTGTGAGCGCCGTGGGAGCAAGGCCAGCCCCGAGGCCGCCGGTTTCAGGTCCTTTTGCTGAGTCCCCTTGTCCTGTGGCCACCAGGGTGAAGAAGCAGTTCTGGCCCAGTGTCCCCGACCCTGCCAACAGCAGCCTGGGCAAGTGGGTGCCGGTAGAGCTGCAGCAGGTGAGACCCCAGCGGCTGCTGGGCATGAGGCCATGTGGGGACGGGGAATGTCCCCTGTACTGGGCACTGGTGAGGCCCCACCTCGAGTACTGTGTCCAGTTTTGGGCCCCCTACCATAAAAAAGACATCGAGGTGCTGGAGCAGGTCCAGAGAAGGGCGACAAAGATGGTGAGGGGTCTGGAGAATAAGTCTTATGAGGAGAGGCTGAGGGAACTGGGGTTATTCAGCCTGGAGAAGAGGAGGCTGAGGGGAGACCTTATTGCTCTCTACAACTCCCTGAAAGGAGGGTGTAGAGAGATGGGGGTCGGTCTCTTTTCTCAAGTCACAGGCGACAGGACAAGAGGAAATGGCCTCAAGTTACGCCAGGGGAGGTTCAGGCTGGGTATTAGGAAAAATTTTTTCACTGAAAGGGTTCTCAGCCCTTGGAATGGGCTGCCCAGGGAGGTGGTGGAGGCCCCATCCCTGGAGGTGTTCAAAAGACGGGTTGATGTAGTGCTGGGAGGGATGGTTTAGTGATGATGCTCCTTGTTTGTTGTGTGGGTGTCTATTTTTGTCAGAGTTAGGTTGACGGTTGGACAAGATGATCTTTAAGGTCCCTTCCAACCTAGAAGATTCTGTGATTCTGTGAATGGGGGCGCAGGGAGCGTCCCTCGTGGGCTGCCCAACGTGGGGCACAGCGGGGGCCACTCCCTGCAGACAGGCCGTGACACACAGCCCTTCCTCCAGGAGCATCTGCAGGTCCCCGGCACAAAGGAGCCCGGCCTGGCCACCATTTCTACCGTCACCGTGCTGGAGAGGGCTGCCTGGGGCAAGGAGCCAGCCGCCCCGGAGCCCACCAGCTCCTTCCCCGCCATGCCCCAGCCCTACGTGCGGCAGGAGGCACCGGGCCGTGGCGGGATGGCAGCCGAACCGCACCGGGGCCCCGGCGGGAGCGGGGAGAGCGTGCAGTACGCGCGGGTGGTGGGCGAGGGGTACAAGGGGCAGCAGCAGCTCCCGCCGCGCCTCTACCTGCGCTCGGGCTCCAGCTCCAGCCAGCCCCTGCTGCCCGGGCCCAGCCCCAGCCCCCTGCCCTACCAGAACCTCTGGTTCCACTGGGCCGCCCCTCAGGGCTGCCCGGGGGACGAGGGCTGCCCCGAGGAACCGCCCGCCACCTTCCCCCTGCTGCAGGGCCTCCGCATCGGCGGGGCCGAGGAGCTCCAGGACTGCCGGGCCTTCTAGTACCGGGGGCCCAGGGCTCCCCCCGCGGCCTGCCACAGGCCCGGGCCTTAGCCCTGGGGGCCCGGCTCCCTCCGCCTGTGCTGTGTGCGTCCCCTCCCGCCCCTCCTCTCCCCTCTGCAATAAACGGGGACGCGCTGAGAACGGCCCGGGACGCCTCTGCGGCGGGACGAGCCTGGAGCGGCCGGTAGGGCACCAACCCTCCGCCGCCACCGGGGGAGGGCGCTTATCGATGCGCTCGGCGATCGGTTCCTCCGCCCTGACTCGGCGCTCGGCCGCGTCGCCTGGGCAAGATGGCGGCGCCCACGGCGGCGGGGCCGTGAGCGGCGGGCGATGCTGGCGCTGAGGACGGCGCTGGGCCGCTGCCTGGCGGGGCCGGTCCGCAGCGGGGCCGCCGTCCTGGGGAGCGGCGGCGGCAGGGCCGGTGAGGCGTGGGGGGAGCTCGGGCCGCTCTAGAGAGGGCGCTGGGAGAGAGAGTGGAAGGGGAAGCGGGGCCCGACGGAGGAAGAGGAGGCCGGGGCGGGAGCCGAGGAGGGGGGGAAGGAGCGGTCTGGGGGTAGGGGATGGTTTGGGACGGGGGGAAGGAGCCTGATGCGACCTTGAGAGGGGACAGGGGGCTGGGTGACCCTTGGAGGACCTGGGGTGCTTATGGGGAGGCAGGGCGCGGGTAGGGCCTCGGCGTGTCCCTCAGGGCACCGGGCACGGCTGAACCCCCAGGCCCGCGGTGGGGCAGCCAGGGTGCCTGGGGCATGGCCCAGGGCGAGGGCTGCCCCCTGCCCCGCGGGGACCTGCTGGAGCAGCTCAGGTGGCTCCGAGGCCTGAGGCAGAGGTGTGTGAGCTGGGCCGGGGCGCGGGCTGGAGCCCCACGTGCCGTTACCACAGGGTGTGCACAGCCCCGTTACCGCAGGGTGTGCACAGCCCCGTGCTCACCGGCTGTGCCCGCAGCCCACGGTGTCCTGCAGATCCAGAGCTGAGCTCACCTGCTCCCCAGGCAGGTGCGTGGGCTGGCAAAGTCTGTATTTGAAAGCACGTTTGAAGTGGAGGTGAATAATCTGAAGCGGGTATTGGTTCCAGTGGCAGGGGCCTTGAAAGAGCAGTTGGACAAGTTTGTTCTTGAAAGGTCAAAGAACAGCTCAGTTCAAGCAGGTCGTGAATGTTCTCGTCTGCACCAAGCTGTGGTGGTCAAAGGTTGTCTCTAGGTCTCACTCTCTCTGTGCTCTGCCACTGGGGTTGTCCAGAGCAGCCCACACATGAAATTACTTTAACTAGTTCATCAGTTTAAACCCCTCAGATGAGCACAGTTCAGCTGGGGAGCCCTTGTGCTCTCTGCTTGGTGCCTGCAATCTCTTCCTGCTGTTCTGTTCTCCCCATTTGGGTCCAGGTCACCCTGAAGCAGCATAGCTTTGCCCGTTTGTTTCAGCACCTGTGTGAGAACTGCACCGTACTGTGCCACACTCCCTTGGGACAAAAAGCCTGGCTGGCTGCTGATCACCTTGGAGTCTAAGTGCTCTGACCAGTTTTCTAGTACAGACCGGGCGATATTCAATGTGTATGTAGGTAAACCAGTGCACACAAGTCTGATAAGTCTTTGTTTTCTTCCACCAAGTTTGCAGTCCCCTTATTCAGACAGCCAGATGTTACGCCAGACCTGTGAGAAGGAAGAGGAAAGGTATGTCAGGATTAACGGGATCACGTGGCAAAATGTTTTACTGTTGCTATTATCAGAGTTGTGCCCTAACGCCTTGGGAAGAGGGGGTATTTGGAGAAATTAGTGGCTTTCCATTTAAAGGTGCAGAGCTCAACACAAGAAGATAAAGGAAATACAATCCCTGTTGCAGGATTCTGCAGTCCTGCGGCTTCCCGATGGGAATTACAAGGATGAGGGAGCCAAACTCTCAGTTGTGCCAAACAGTATGATGAGGGGCAGTGTCCCAAATAGCAGCTTGGAGATGTTCTGGCTGGACACAAAAGGAACAGGGATTCTCTGGGAAGGCAGCACAGCTTCACAGAGGGGCTGTGGAATATCCACCCTCAGGGGTTTTCAAGGCTTTGCTAGACAAAGAAACGGTGCCAGTCCCACTTTAAAGGGGAGATTGGACTAGAAATTTCATAAGCTGCCTTCGTAAACTTTTTTGTGGTTCTGTACTTCTAGAAATAATTCCTTGCAAGCTCAGAAAATATGTGGGAAATTAGCAATTGTCTTTAGCAAGAGATCACTGATCTGGGTGGACTATATGCTGTGTTGTAAATCCAGAGTGCCGAAGGCAAGAGACTGAACCCACTTTTATTTGCTCAATTCCTGCCACTTCAGCTTGATCTCTTACATTCATCCTCCTTGTTTGGAGTGTACAGTCTATTTTCTTTGCAGCTTGTTGCCTCTGGTCTAGTTTGCAGGCATGTTCAGAGCTCTGACTTTGTACTGCTCTTCCTCAAGTGTTAATCTTCTCTTCGTAGACATCCCCAGCCATTTGGATGATCTTCCTCCCACAATGCTGAAGAAAGACTATGCCAATGTCCCAATAATAAATAGGTATGATAGAGGGAAAGCGAATGACTGTTCTCTTCAGAGATTTATATCTTAGATGCACACAACCACAATGAGTGGAAGCTGTCACCTGCTCAGTTATTAATTAATGTTCTGTGGCCACAGGTTTGCAATTTAGCACAAAAATTGCATAGTCCTTTTGAAAGTCAAATTTTCAAAAGCAGCTACTGATCAGAGATATGTACGTTTTTTTTGTTTAACAAATATAAGACTAAGATTTAAATGCTGGACTTTGTAGTCCACAATAAAAAGAAATAACCTTGAAATACCAGAAATAACCTTCTTGGAAACAATCTATTCCTGTCTTCAACTCAGGTGCCAAAGAGTGTGTAGTTTAACAGCTCAAAATGAATGTCTGCCTCGGAAATGTGGACCTGGAGTTAAGCATTTTTATGCCCTGATTCCAGAACTGCTCATGTGTGGTGCATGGAGAGCCCCCAGTGGTGTGACTGGGACTTTCACAGATCTTTGAAGGAGCTAATTAAAACTAATTCTTTTGTCCTTGCACACTTATTTGGGGGTTAATCTTCAGCACTCAGTTCACACATAATGGTTTTGGAATCAATAAAACTTCATCATTTGAAACAACTGTGCTCCTCACAGCAGCAAAACTACTCAATGCTTCTGTAATCTCAGCCATGATTTTTCTTAGGAATGCAAGAAATGGTTCGTGGCTGACAGGTTTGGGAGGGGAGGGCAGTTGCTGTGAATTTGTAGCAGAAAAGTTAATATGTTCTGAAAACTGAACCTCATTTCTGTTAAATACACTTCATTCCTAGCTAATAAACTAATCTACAATCTCCCCGCAGTGTTGACGATGTAGTGAGAAGACTGTTGTCACTGGAAATGGCAAGTCAGGTTAGTTTCATTCTACTTGCATAAAAAACTAGAAGATTTAGTGAGCATGTTTGTGTAAGACGGCTGTGGTAAACGCCCTTCACTTTATTTTGCAGTGTTGCTCGGTAACTGCAAATCTGGAGCTATTAAACACGAGATTGAAAAGCCTTTTATGCTCTTAAAATTTGTCATGCAGTCTTCTTTATGATTATAACTGCATACTAAAATGAGAGAAGAGAATATTAGGCAGTGGCAGGGGAGATGAGCTGTGTTGTGTGACTGCTGCTGCTCGGCCTGGGTTCCAGAAAATAGCCTCCTGGACAGCAGATGTTCTTCAGATTACTTTTATTTTTTGTATGCCCAGAAAATGAAGTAAGCAAATGGTCAGGCAGCACAAAGATCTTACCGTTTCTTGCTGCTTAACATTTAAGCTTAAAAAGATGTGAAAAGTAAGGGCTGGTGCCATGTGAGATCAGCTTCGGCTCTCTCTTCCGTTCAGGGGAGCAGCGGGGCCTCTTCACTGCCCGTCCCCGTCGGCTGGGGGAGAAGGGTGTGCTCACTCTTGGTGTGAACAATGGTGGTGCTGTCCTCTTCTGAGATCATTTTGTGCTGCTTGTCCCCTGAGCACTGTCCTGCAGGCACCACCTCCTTTTTTTTGCAGCTCTTTTTACACATTTTGTGATGGGCGCTGAGTAAAGCTATTAATTACAAAGCCTTTATCTGGGCATCTGGGAAGAGAGCTGGGGTGTCTCAGACCTTTAGCACTCCTGAGGAAGTGACAAGCTCTTTGCTGTTATCCACAGAAGGAGAAGATGAAAATAAAGACACAGCAGCTGGTGGAGAAGGTCAGGAGGTCTCCCAACGACAATGGCTCCTTTGAGGTGCAAGGTAAGTTAGAAAGTAGAAGGACATTGTTGGCGGACGATACATCTCGGCTTTTATTCAGCTGTTCCCACCCCAGCACTTCAGGTTTCCTGTCTCAGTTTGGAGAGTGAGAGGCAGGCAGCCTGCAGCTTGCCCTGGAGGACCTGACCGGCTTTTGGGAAGGTCGTGGAGGCAGCACATGCACTTACTGGCAGCTGTCTGCTGGGGTGCCTCCACATTCCGGCTCCAACGGCAGCACGTGCATTACATTATTCAGCTTGAGGTGCCTGTATGACATGGAGCGCTGCATTCGTTACCCAAATGAACTATGTTTAGCCATGGAACCCAAATTTCCCAAAGGCCAGGCTGCCATTGCCCAAGATGGACTCCTATATCGTTAATAAAGGCTTTTGGTTTCTCAGCACCTTTCTCCAAAGCCTGAAATCACAAAGAGCTCCTGCGCTTAGAAAGAACCTCTTAATTTTGTCAGTTCCTCCAAAGCTTGAATCAAGTGCAGTGAAATGAATGTAAAGTCACCAGTAATTAAGTGAGTGTTAGAGGCATTTTACAGATATACTCACATGATCTGTAGTTACAATTTTAATCTCTAATTAAGCAGCTTCATAACAGCAGTACTTGTGACCTGGGTGATGTATTTTGCGGTTTGTTTTGCACTCACTTGGGGGGCTGCACAGCAGTATCGCTGCGGTGCCGCGGGTCCCCATAGCTGTCCTCAACCGGCAATTTGAAGGGAAAGCAAACGATGCCCTGGGAAGCTGCTGCTCTCACCCGGCTCCCCGTGTCTGTTCTTCACAGTTGCCATCCTGACTGCCAAGATCCGCTCTTACGAGGAGCATCTTCAGAAGCATCCCAAGGTGACCATCAGCAGCGTGAGCCCACGCGCCTCAGACGGCAGCTGCTCGGGTTGTTTCCTCAGTTTAGAACAAAAGGGTTTTAATTCTGGGGATTATGGCTTTCCTAAGAAGTTGATAAAATAGTTCTAACTGTTCCCTGGTGCCAGTCTGGGAAACTGCTGGCTCAGTCGCAGCTGCGTTCTCCGCGACTGAGCTGTGGAGATGTTCTTTTTGTGCCTGGGTGGGTGGGAAGGGCTGAGCGGGTACCTCGGAGTGGAGTTTAGCTAAATCCCTCCGTGCTGCAGATGTGCCTCCACTGCTTGGTTTCCAATGTCATTGCTGTTATCACTTCAGCAGCTGTACTCTCTTTCTGCTGCCTATGAACAAGTTTAGAGGACAGGATTGGGCTAACGTCATAATGACCATTTTTGTACCTAAAGCTTCCTGGCTTCAGAGCCCAAATTGGAAACATCACAACTGTGAGTTTATGAACGAGATATATCAAAGGCTTTATGCAGCACAAAAGGTGGGAAATGGATTCAGCAACTGCATTTTTAAAAAGTGCATAATTATTTATTAATCGTAAAAGCTTGAAGGGTAAAACAGAACAGAATTCAGTTTTTATAAGAAGCCAGGAGCTGTAGCAAATTTTTCAGCAGAAGAGACCCTTTGAAATTATTTGGATGAAGCCTGCCCTTTACACAAATGGCCTGTATCCGATAGGGAAACTTCTCCCATGGGGATTGCCCTGAAAGGCTCAAGCTACACATTCTCTAACAAAGAACAACCCAAACAGTCAGATAGAGCCAAGTCACGTTTTATTTTCACATTTTAATTTCTGGAAAAACAAAGGTAAATGCTTCTGTGTTGTTTCCGGAAGAATACATTTTAGGGGAAAGCAGAGTTTTTAGCCCATAGACCTACAGCCTCTGCCTCCAAATCATTGCAGCTTTTGCCACTGCCTGAAACTGGGTAGGAGTTGAAAATGGTCCTTGGCGCTGGGGGAGGAAGGTGCAGACACAGAATGAAGAAAGCAATTTCCTTGAAAAGTAAATTAAGTCTTCTCGGATCTCCTTGTAGTGACCTAATGTGCTTGCAGTATCTGCCAAGAAAAATTTTTCTAAGATAGTGCCCTTAACCTGATTGTTTCCTTTCAGCCATAATCTGGTCTATTCTAAGTCATTTATTGGAATGACAGTCTAACCTGCCTGCAATCTAGTGAGCGTTAAGTCCTTTGCAGGATAAAAGTAACCGCCGTCGCATGCTGATGGACATAGATCGCCGGAAGAAACTCCTGGCCTATCTTCGCCGTGTCCGTTACGACACCTTTGAGAACACCTGCAAGCAGCTGGGCATCCAGTACAGCCTGCCTCCCCCCTACACCAGGAGGGTCACCAAGCGCTGGCTCGTGAAGAAGGCTTTTTGTCTCAAGGTACGGGGGCCATCGGGGGAGAGCGGCCCGGAGCTGGAGCAGGAAAAAATCTCTTTTAAAAAAAAAAAACCACTCTTTATAGAAGGGGTTAAATTAAAACAGTTAGAAAAGACTGATAGCGACATCCTTTTGATCTATGCTTTGAATTTGAGGAGACAATGATAATCTCTGTAGAGAAACATATAAACTCAGCAAAGAGCTCCACGGGAGACAGTTACATAGAGGGGAGTGATGCACGTGCTGTGCTTGAGAGCTTCAGACTGTGCTGCTAGTTTGCTCAGAAATGTATGATCCAAACATCTTCTTTTCAAAGCCTGGTATGGGAACTAATATGTAAGAGATTTAAATTTGATGGTACAGAACAGAAATGTGGGTATACCCGCCGTCTGCTCTCATTTGCTTAAAGACATCGGGGTAACTGCTGTGTGCAGTATCTCTCTGTATAACTCAGCAGAATCAAAAAGCTCTTCACACCTTCAGTCTGTAAATACTAAAATTCAGTCCAATGAAATTATAACCAAAAGACGGGGTAGCCAGAATGGAATACCCCCACGTGGTGCCCTGAAAGCAGGGCTGGCTGGAGCCCCAAGGAGGCTCAGGGGAAGGAGCTGCTCCTGCTGCACAGTGTGTTTCCTGGTCTCTGCTGCAGGAGCTGGGGTCTGTGCAGCAATGGCTCTGCTTGGCAGCAGGCAGCTTCGTCTCTCCCCTTCTCTCACCTCCTCCTGTTCCTCCTGCAGGTTTTTCAGGAGGTGCGGAAGCTGAAAGCACCAGAGAGGCTAAAGCAGAGGAAGGAGTGGCAAGCGAGAGCCCGAGCTGCGAGGGAGAGAGCGGCGCAGTGCGAGGGGACACCCGTGTAGCCACACAGGCAGGTCTCTGACAATAAATTATCACCTAAAGACACGCTGCCTCTTTGCTTCCGTGTGCACGTGTGGTCTGCGCCACCCAGAAAGGTGCAGTGAGTGGTTTAAGTGTTTTAAAAGTTTAATTTAAGGCCGGTGCATTGGGCTGTGTTGCGAGCAGCTCGATCTGTGGGCGAGGAGTACCTTGGGGGGCTGCTCCCCCTCGGGCAGGGAGGTCTCCAGGTGAGAGCACCCTCAGCAGTGTCCCTCTCCTGTCACCCCCCGGCAGCATCGCGCTGTCAGACAGCACTGACCCATCCTCGGTGGGGATTTGGGCTGTGGGATGACAAATGAGGAGAGAGAATGAGGCGAAATGCTGCTTAGCTGGGAACAAAGCTGCCCTGACAGCAGCTCAGAGCGCCTGGGAAAGCAGGGGTTGATCTGCAGCTGCAGGAATGGGGTTAAACATCAGGTCTGGCATTTCCCAGCAGAGTTATTAGACCTTATTGCTCTCTCCAACTCCCTGAAAGGAGGGTGTAGAGAGGTGGGGGTCGGTCTCTTTTCTCAAGTCCCAGGCGACAGGACAAGAGGAAATGGCCTCAAGTTACGCCAGGGGAGGTTCAGGCTGGATATTAGGAAAAAATTTTTCACTGAAAGGGTTCTCAGCCATTGGAATGGGCTGCCCAGGGAGGGGGTTGAGGCACCATCCCTGGAGGTGTTCAAAAGAGGGGTTGATGTAGTGCTGGGAGGTCTGGTTTAGTGATGGGGATGCTCCTTGTTTGTTGTGCGGGTGTCTATTTTTGTCAGTTAGGTTGACGGTTGGACAAGATGATCTTTAAGGTCTCTTCCAACCTAGAAGATTCTGTGATTCTGTGTTAAGCGTTTCCCTCCCAGCGCCCAGCGGTGCCTCTGAGGGACAATGACCAGGCTGGTTACGGTGGTGCCTGCCTTTGCTCCCCGCCTTCCTCCTGCCCGCGGTACGCGCGGTCACCCCGCCAGCCCCCGGGCAGCGCCGAGCCCTTTGTTATTTACCAAAATTACTTCAGTTTAACCATTTCCTCATCGGCCCTTTCGGTTTCCGTGGCAGCCGCCGTTGGGGGACTCACGCGCTGAGTGAGGGGCTGCGCATGCGCGGGGGCGGGGCGTGCGCGCGCTCCCGAACCTGCCAAGACGGCGCCTCCCGATTGGCCCCGCGGTTGCCCGGCAACGCTGGCGGCGGCGGCAGGGCCGGTGGTCGCCATGTCGGTGCGGACGCTGCCGCTGCTGTTCCTCAACCTGGGCGGGGAGATGCTCTATATCCTGGACCAGCGCCTCCGCGCCCAGAGCATCCCCGGGGAGAAGGCCCGCAAAGGTGAGCGGGCGGCCGGGACCGCTGCCGGGGCCGGGCCTGCGCCGGGGGCTGCCCGCCGGCGGGGTCCCGCGGCCTGTCCCTGCCGTGCGGAGCCGGCGCCGGGGCCGAGCAGGGGGCCGGGACGCCGCTGGCGGTGGCGGGGTGGCCCCGGGAACGGGAGGAGTGGGGCTGCCGTAGCTGCCGGTACCGGTGCCGGCCCCCGGGGCCGCTTTTCTTCCCGCCCTCCCTCTTTCCCAAGCCCGGTGGGGTTCAGGGCCCCCCAGAGGGACCGGCCGCTCGGGCCCGTGGTGCTGGTTCTCGTAAGGAAATATAGGGATAAAGACAAATGTACCTCCTGTGCTGTTACTGGAAGGATGCTTGAAAAGAACCGAGCATCCCAGTGTCTGGCGTTGAAAGCCGTCTGGGGCAAGTGGTTGCCTTGCCACGGTTTAGCAACTCTAACGTAAATTAATTGTGTGTGTTTTTCTTGTCTTAAATTTCAAGTAAAGCCTGTTGAGTTAATCAGCTCTCATGGAGTTTTTGTGGTAATAACTGCCTGAAGGTTTCACTGAAGCTGTTTTGTGAAATGGGTACAGAAAAGGTAGATGATTGAAATACGTTTCAGTGTGTTCTTGCAGCTCCCTGTCAGGGGATGGGGAGTGCACTTCAGGAAGCCTTTATATTTTTTAATAAAATAATCAACTCAATATTAACTGTGTATTGAAGAGGTTGTTACGTTTTTCCTCCTTCTGCCCATCCAATATGAAGAAATGCTAAAAGATAGCAAAGGTTTCACTACAGTGGTGTGATTTTTTTAATTATTTGTGTCTGTCCTAAGAGAACGAGCTGACAAAAGGTTACTACTGTCCTTATAGGTCTAAGTTGAGAGCTTAAACTAAACTAGCCGTACTTGGTGGGGTGTCTCAGCAGGAGAATTAGATCTGAGTTAGTTTATCCACAGATGTATTTCATCTTTCAAAAAAACAGGCATTAATTTTACTGAGATGTGGTTTCACCCACGCTGATGTGTTTGTTAACGCTTAAAACTGTTCACTCAAATATTGTTCATGTGTCAGTGCAAAAAAACAGCTGAAAACTTTCCAAACTAAATGCAAAACATTCTAAGATTCAGTCAAGGGTGATATTTTATCTCCATTGAAGAAACAAGACTTTTTTCCAAGGAGAGGGCACGGTTTTGTCTTTTGTGTGCTCATTGGAAGTGAGAGATGTCAAGTAAGAAAAGAGAGATGTCAAGAAAAGAGTTCATTCTCGTTAAGCGCTGAATGCCAATGAGAAAAAACAAAGTCCATTAGTTAGATGATTATTTTTTTTTAGTTTATTTCTTTTCTTCTCCTTGAAACCATTGTTCTTACTTCTTGAACTGGTGTTTTTGTTTTATATGCTTCGTGTAGATGAATGGACAGATGTGGACAGGAAACGAGGTACTGTAATCTGCTAGCTGCATGCAGTAGACCAACACCACTACATGCACACGTGAGGCTCATCGTCCGTGCACACACTGTATGCTGGTCCCGCAGCCTTCTAGTCATAGTGTCAAAGATGAATAATACTCACCTCTTCGTTAAAATGCACTTTAACTACAGATCTTAGGAAAACAGACAATACCTCAAAATCATACGGCTTCAAATACAAGTCGCGAATTTAACCAAGGCTATAAATAAATCAAAACTTTTTATTGTAGTGGGTTTTTTTTAGTCAAAACAGTACTTGCATTTTTCTAGCATTGTACTAATGCAAGCATATAACTGTGTGAACATTGTGAAGGTTGTTTTTCTGCTGAAATGCAGGAATACTACGTATACTGCATTTTTCTAGGGTTTTTTCAAATTCACTGCTTAGGGCTTTGACAGGTGAACTCCAGCAAGGACTTAAGGTGTTTCCATCGTAGCTGCTTATCCATCTCTGCTAGTGGTCCCCTCCTGCTGCAGAGCCATCCCAGAGGAGCAGGTGCCCACACTTCAGCCAAGCTCTTGACTGAGATTGTCCAGGAAAGCTCTCAGTGGGGCTGAGCTGTGAGTGTGCCTTTCCTTCTGGCTTCTGCCTTGGAATTGTGACCTCCAGCAAGGGTGTGGTAAGGAGCTGGATGAAGAAATAAAGCTCTTCAACTGCCTCAGGTTTTTTGCTGCATGAACACGAGTAAAACTTTCAGTGTGTTTTTGAGCAGCCGGTTTTTTAAGAGAGATGAGGATTATGGTTCATGTTTTTCAAAATAAGCATCATTTGTAAATTTTGAGTATTTACTGAAGGTAGATATTGATATCCTGGAGTTTGCCTGGCTTTTTTTTTTTTCTTTTTTTTGCTACCACCATGTGCTATTTTCAGCATTTTTTTCCCCAGCATTTAATAACTCAGAAGTGTAAAAGATTCTACATTCTTTTTTTATCACATCTGAAATGATGACGAGCTGTATGAAAACCCGCTTTATGATACAATACATATAGATGGCAGCGGCACAGATACAGATCCCATGTTGACCAACCAGCTTCTCTTGTGAGAGAGAGAACAGTTTGCCTGTGGACACTGCTCTTGGGGCCATCTCTGAAGAGTTACGATAGAGTAACCAGCCAAGTCTTTTGCTAATGAAGCATGAGAAGGCGGCTTCGCCTGCCTTTGACCTTGTTACGAACTATAAATTGCAATTAGAATGTGTGACTGTTTTGGACTCGTCACATTCCCTCTGCTGCCTTGAATGTCCTCCAAGAAGCATGAGCATAATCCAGACATAAAGACTCCAGTCTCATGTCATGCATCCGAGCCATGTTACGTCACAGCGCAGTAGAGGTTGGAATGTCCCTGGTGACACGGCACATGTAGGTGAAAACCGCCGTCAATCCTCAGCTTCTCTTCTGTCCATCGCATTGTCTATACTTGGTTTCCCTCTCCCCATCCCACTCGATGAAACCCCACTCTGCTAAATTGCTTTTATGCTATGTTGCTTGCCGTGCCATTTTCCCTGAGCTAACGCTCCTTTCTTTGTTATTTACCATTGTTAGAACGGCGTAAATACCTCCCTAGGGACTACCTGTGCTCTGAGATCTCTTTGCTGTGCCATTATCAAACATACCATGTGAGATTTGCCCTTTACTGTGATTTTTTTTTTTTTATGTCTTTCTCAGTTCTTTTTATAGCCAATACAAGAGGTTTTAATTTCAGAAGATAATTTATGTAAGGCTCGGTGTGCGGTTAACGCAGATCTTCCAATTTCCTTGTGAATATCTACCAGCCACAGTCGGTGTACTGGGACGTTGTGTCTCCTGACAGCTTGGTTATTAGTGACTCTATAGAGTTATTTATGATAACTCCGTAGAATGTATCAGGTGTATGATAAAAGTATCAGCTCCAGCACAAAAGCTGAGGTATTGCATCTGCCTGAATCACTGCAAAATGTTTTCTACCTTCTTTGCATCAAAAGCTTGATAACCAGAGCACAGCCCTTACACTCAGCACTCCTGGTCTCTGCGTGCTCTTGAGTAAGTGACATAACACTTCCATGGAACATTTATGAAGGACTTTGAACTGCTCTAGTATCTGCAGATGTTGCTGTGTAAGAGCCTTGGGTGGCCTGACATAGATCCTAGTGTTATAAATACTTCCTTAAATACTTGTCCAGTGTTAATCCGTTTAACACAAATACTTCAAGGAGCCTTGAATCATTCAAGAGCTTCTCTTTAGAAGGAAAAATTTGCTAATAGTGTCAAAGGCTAAAGA